TGCAATGTTCATCCATTAGAAGGAATTGCATCTGATGCCATGAAGTGTTTGGCAGATTTCGACAACATCCATGGATTGACAGGAAGAACTGGCAAAGGTGGAACTGCTGTCTCATTTCTATACAACCTATCCAAACTGAGGTACTTAATTTTTATATATAATGTTTTTTCATAATTGGTGACATCTTTGTTACTGATGTTATAGATACAACTATTAGGGAGACTCATCAGCCTTCAAGGCATTCCTGAAAGCCAACAATGTCACAGCTGGTACATTCCTTAGATATGTTGGAAACCGATTGAACTTGATATTCCATATGGGCGGCCTCGTCATTCATCATGAAGAACTTCTCAGAACATTCCTTAGAAAGTATTTATGTTAATTTTTTTTAGTTGACTCAATAAATTATTTAAAAATCTTAAAAACCTTTTCATAGCAACAATAGAAACGAAATAACAAAGTCATTATGGATTGAGATCAACCAAGAAGGAGTCATGGTGCAATTTCAAGCTCTAGGCATCACTGGGAAGATTATCACCGGCCCATGGATGACGTTGGTATACCGTAACATACATGACCTCTCAAACTTGGAAATGGTTTTTTTCTTCATTTATTTCTTTGTTTATTACAACATAAGCATTGTTCTTTTTATAAAGTATTGACACCGTTTGATCATAATAAACTTGATCCTAGGGTTCTGTTTTTCAATTGGGCAAGTCAGTGATTGAGGGGATGCTACACCACCCAGCAGAAGTTGTGCTGATGAAAACTGATGCGTTTGGTCACCCTCTTGAAGAAGATGATGTGCACCTGTCTCTGATGAACAAAGTGTATAACAATGATATGTTATATAAACTTTTGATCTCTCTTATGCAAAGTGTCATAGAGGTCATGGAGAGACAGATGGGAAACTACCTCACTGGAGAGTTGTCTAACTCTGCTCCTCAGATGCTCCGAGGACAAAGACCGCAAGAAGACTGAACATGCAGTCCTCATGTTGTTGATTAATGATGGAAATTCTAATGATCACAAGTTACCAGTAGAAAGTCTTATAACAGACCTGATCAATGGAGACCTGGAATTCTTCACCTGATGAAAAATCATCGTATGATAAATTTTGTTAATTTTATAATTGTGTGATTGTGCGTGCGTGCGTGCGTGTGTAATATGATTATTATTATTAAGTTTTATAATCATATAATGAAATATAATAATTATGATAATAATATAATAATCAATATATCATAATAATATAATAATCATATAATAATAATATATAATTATAAATGAATTATATTTAAATATAAATTATAATATAATATATAATGTAAAATTATAAATACCATTGCAATATGATTATGATTATTAAATTTTAATTTATAATATATATAAATTATGGATATATATAATTATTTTATAATTATAATTAATCATTATAATTAAATTTTATTATAAATATAAATTATTCATAAATATTATTTTCTTATTTTACAGCTGTTATAAAAACAAGAAGAAAAAATTGTGTTTTGTTCAATTTTAAATCGCTCAATGCTCACTTAACATTGAGCGTCACTCATGGCGCAAGTTGAAAGTAAAAATAATTCTTTCAAAATTCGTTTTCTCGGTAACTATAAATGCGACAATAATAAATTTGGTATTATTTTAATCAGCAAATTTTGCTTTATAAGGAAAAGTAGTTTATATACCAAAAAAAAATTTGAAAAATCGTGCGACCTGCTAATTTATATGTTAGATTTTATTTTCTATTAAAAACTTTCATAAGATGTTTAATTTAGATTTAAATTTCGCATCAACTCACGTAAGGATAATAATAGCTGTCATGTCGGTTAATAATTAAACGAATGACAAACAAAACAAACAGAAGCAAGCAGAAAAAACCATCAAAATGTTCCAACTGAATGAGGAGATGATGTGAGAGGAGCGAGATAGGCAGCACTTGCATCGTCCGTACTCGATATCCTCTGGTGATTTCCGATAAATACATCTGATCCTATGCATAGTGAGGAATAAACTTTTTTTTATATAACAATCATTTGGACACACGCATGCACATTCTGTATTTATGACGACGCATGACGTAACTGTAGTTATTATAGTCTATGTAGGATAAACTTTCATACGAGTTTTAAACTACTTGGTTATACGGAGTATTCAAATTTACAAAAATTTGTTTTTTTTATTTGGTTTTTGCTTTATTTTAAGGTTTAAAATTAAAAATAATTCATAATTGGCAATTCCTAATCCCTAATTCAACTTTTTATTCAGGTTGTATGCATGCTGGCTACCTCTGACGACACCAAACCGGACATGGTCAAGTCGGACCAACAGCTTATATGATAATAAAATAATAAACTTCAGTGTTAGAATCAATCCATTCTCAGTCACGTGATAACAGCGTTCACCGTATAATGGCATGTGGTACAACTGTGCTGATCTTACAATTATGTTTATAATGTTCATTTTGATCGAAGACTAATAAACGATTGAGATGACGTGTCAGTTGTTACGGGAACCTTTCTGCAAAACATTCTCTTGAAGTAAAATAGCCAGCAACGACTGTAGTAGAGTCAACAATTAAAAATTTTTGAAGGAAATTTTAGGTGCCTACCTGGCGTGTGTCAATCAGTTGCACCCTTTCTATCTATCTATCTCTCGCGAGCTCTCTCCATCAACATTGTACTTTGTATTTTTTTCAATATTGTATCGTGCATCTCTTTTTCTTCCTCAATATTATATCTTGTATCTTTCTCTATCTCTAAATATTTTATCTTGGATCATTTCTCTCTTTCTCTCAACAACACACACACACACACACACACATGCATAACATTCATTTGTTCAGTGTCATTGTCATGTTTGTTTTCTGACTTCTTCTACTTTTCTTCTCTACTGGACTGACGCCAAGAGTGAGTTGAGTTTAATTGAAAGTAGGTAAGTTAAAGCCTAAGATGAGTTAATTGATCATAAGTAGGTGAGATTTGAATTGAGATAATTGTTATAGGTAAGCTAGGGCTTGAGCGTTAATTTATGGTAGGTAGGTGACCTCTATTCTTGCTAGGTGACATCTCATTTATTGATTGTTATGTGTTAGTTTTTGTTTCACATCATCATCACACACTAACAAAACAATCGCACACACAGCAAACACAACATTACATACTCTCTCCTTTCTCTCTCTCTCTCTCTCTCTTGTACCTTCTCTTGCTTCTGGTTTCGTTGTATTCCTATGTATCTATCTATCCATCCACTATGCCTTAAAATGTTGTTGACTCACGCTGAAACAATTGCTGTTAGCGTTCGAATTTATTGGCGTTATTTTACTCTTCGTATATTCTTACGTGTATAATTTGTGCTGTTGTATGTGTGCGTGTGTGTTTCTGTGTATTAGTGAGTTTTATACCTAGGTATTTATTATTTTCTACCATTGTTCGCGCGGGTAATGATGTTGCATTAGTACGTTTAATACCAGTAAATTGAAATAGCGAAAATTAATAACTTATGTTAAGTAGTCGAATGTTTGATAACTTTTCAAGTTTGAACGTTATGGGTTGAGTGGATGGATGAATGGGTGGATAAAGGAAAGACGAAACGAATGAACGAATGAATTAAATATTAAATTAAATTGTTTATGATATCACATCCACCTAGTGAAAAAATCATCAAGAAATAAGCTTGATAGAGTCGTCAGCCCCACAAATGTTAGCTTCCCGTCAAAGAGTAAACATTTTTAAAACTGGCCTGCCTCGTTGAAGTTTTTTTTATATCTGCCGACCTACGCTCAATCGACCAATAAGAAACATTTGCACGACTCGGAGAACCATGTCAGATGAATAGTTTTTTCGAATTTTATAAAATAAACTTATGTTTCACATTTTTTGGTGCTAATTAATTTTGGTTTTTATGAAATTTTTTTAAAATTTTTTTGATGATTTTTCACTTATTTTGTATTTATTCATTTCGTTTTCACAGTTTACTAGAAAAATATCATTTTGATTTTCAAAAACTAATTCTAGTTTAATAGGAAAATCTAAATTCTAACATTGCAAAAAGTCGTTCAACCAAACGTATTTACAATTTCGGTTTACTATTCAAAACAAATTTACGACATATTTAAATATGAATGTTCGAATAAAAAGTAAAAAAACAATTTTGAATAAACATAAAGGACTCAAACAATTAAGTATTATGAAACAAGCAAAGCAATCCATATAAGTTTCATAACCATAATTATTTTCATGGGTTATTTTCTATAGGCCTAGTAGGTATAGCATCATCATCGGTTGTATCACCAGTGTGATATAAATAATGACTGACATTATCATCATTTCATCATCAATGTCATTCTCGTCATCAATCAGTATTGTCAATTTAACCGACACCGAATTCAGACTATCGATAAACAGTAAAATTTTAAATTGTAAAAATTTAGAGTTTATAATCAATAAAATCAACATTATCATAGAAGTCAGTTGAACAAATTTTTCTATTGCTACATTCCATCTTTTTTTTCCAATCATGGTTGTAAATTCTGGAAATTGACTGTTGAAAAATAAGTGAAACAAAATGAGATTGGTTTCATAACCGCCCACACTTATTAATATTTTAAACTTTCAAAAAAATTTCATTTTATGTTTTATTTTTTGTATAATCTGTAATATCATTAATGTGTAATTTAGTATCATGTTTCATTTTTAGTATAATGATGTTTTTATTTATTATATTAATTTATAATCAAAATAATTCACAATATTAATAAACAAACATTGGTAGTAAGCTTGTCTTTCCATGGTACAGTTTGGTACCTGAAATTTGTTAGCAAACATTATATGACGTAATATTATGGGTATTTTAAATTATGAAACAACTAATGATTCGACCAATTTTACGAAACAATAATTTTTTCAAGTTTTGTAAGGTTGTTCTGCTGTTGAATCAACATACACTCATGCATCCATTCTTTGATTGTAAAAGAAATTTCACTAAACGGAGTAAGTGAAATCAATGTTCGTTCTTATTGGTCTGTTGTTCAGAGGTGCCAGATGTCTGAAATTATTCCCGATGGAACGTTTTGGATCCTCTGCACTACTTCCAACCATCAAACTTCTCAGGGCATCCATCTAATTTTATTGTGTATTTGTATGCACGCACATCCATAATCCATGCAGTTGCATCGTGTCGTATACGTATTTTTTTAATATTCACAAAGAAGTGAATTAACAAACACACAAACATACTGTGTGCAAATAAAATCAATTGTGAATTAAGCTGGTAATTTGTAATTGTGTTTTGAATTTATTTAGTTTCATTTTTGATTTTGTGCAGTTTCAAGGCGTTCTAGTTCTTTCTAACTGCTGCCTGCTACATGTGTGTCCTACTGTGCATGTTGTTTTTGCAGGGATACATACATACATACGTCTGTGTATGTACGTAAGTGCTTGTCTGAGAGGTGTTTGAATCAGCGTATTATTTAAGTCGCCGCTATGCCTGGGTTTGATACTATTCAGCTATCGCGTTTGTTTATTTTAAAAAATATTGCAAATGTTCAAAATCTTAAAATATTCGAATAATATAAAAATATAAACGACAAAATTGTCAACAATTCGTAAAACTAACGAATTCCCTGCTAGCGTAGATGGGCTTGTTGTATACGATCCAGGTGACAGATTCGTGGCATCCTGGTTTGGTTAGGGAGCCCTCGTACGTTACATACTGATCCGTGTATGGCAGGATGTCCGCTATCATGAAGTTATTCACGCGCACTTTCTGACCTTGGTGACAAATTCTCATGGGATTCATGTACAGTTACTAATTAAATGTTAAACAATTGAGTTGTTAATCAATTTTTTAGCAAACCTATCACGTTTATTTACTTATTCACTCACTCACTCACTCACTCACTCACTCACTCACTCACTCACTCACTCACTCACTCACTCACTCACTCACTCACTCACTCACTCACTCACTCACTCACTCACTCACTCACTCACTCACTCACTCACTTACTCACTCAATCAATCACTCACTCACTCATTTATTTATTTATTTGTTTATTTATTTATTTTCGTTTCTTACATAACCTCGGTATGTGACTTTATCCAAATGAGGGAGCAAAATGTTCAGCTCATCGTTCGTTTGTTCACCAATCTGTGATATTTTGAAATTGAAAATTACTGATTATTTAGTTATAAAACTTATAATTCATTAATTATATAATTAATATTTTTTATAAGACTTTAGAAAAGAAAGAAGTAAACATTTGGAGATAATTTTCTCCAAAAATTTTAACAAATCTTCAAAAAACACGGTATTGTATTTACATCAACGTTATTTTTTAAATCGCAATTTCATGATTGAAATACCTCTAACAATATAAGTTAATAGAACCGTGAAACTGCCATCCTCCGAATATATAAAAACAATAAAACATACTTTGTCCATGCCGATACAATTTATTTATTTCTCAAATTCTCACTTTTATATTGAAAGTACACTCAGCAGTTTCAGATAAATTTAATTTTCCACAAACTTGTATGAATACAGCGATGCCAAACATTCCGTTACTGGACGTATCCGCCTGGCTTCTGTTGTAATACAAATCGCTGTTGTAGCCGATAACCTGGATCTGTTCCAGTTGCCGGGAGGATGTTGGAGATGAAATTATTTTAACGATGTTAGTAAAGTTATTCTTGCTAAAAAGAATTAGTGTCAAGTTATGGCTGTGGCGATAATGTTTTGATTGTAAATAATTAACATTTTGAAATGAATCATCATGGTTATGTTCTAGCTCATAATTGAAATCACTCCTTTGCCAGAGCTACAATAAACTAATTTCTGCATTTTCTGCAATTATATTAGGTCCACGTAAATCAGTAGATTATGGTAAATTACCTGTTTGTCTATTTTATATTATTTTTTCAATGGATTTAAATAAATTAATTTGTAATAAATTGAGTGTTTGCGATCAAAATCGAGATGACCGAAAATGAATCGAGATGAACCGAGATAATCCGAAATGAATCGAGATGAACCTCTCCAGGTAGACTGACACCAGCTACCCGATGTTGGGAGCCATTTGATCGTTTATCCAGCCAAAAGTGAAGGTCAACTTAACTGACTCTGTACTGATAGGCAAGTGGTCCTCCTTTTGTGTGTTCAATTTTTTCGTAGTGAATTTCACAAGATCCGAGTTACTTTCAAAAAAATCACACTGTCAATGTATTGTCATTGCTGTAAATTCAAAGTCGCTCAATTACACAAGCAAATAATTAAATGTTAATGTTCTTCTCGGTTTATAAATGGCAGATAATCTCAGAAAATAACTTTATAACTGTAGAAAGTTATTTACGAAAACAAATGAATAAAAAAAATTTTTACCGAGGGTTTCAAAATAATTTTTTTGCCAAGAAATTTTTCTGTATTTTTCTATATTTAAAAACTGCAAGTTGTAAGAATGGTTAATTGAAATCATCATCGTCATCAAAATTATCACCATCCTCATCATCATCATTTTTATCATAATCACCACCATCATCTCCATCATCATCAACAACAACCTGTGACATTGACATAGGAATCAGCATGGTCGTCCAGGGTCATTTCCAAGTTTCTCCCGGTGTTGTTCAGAGTGACAGTCGTCTGGAGGACAACGTAAAAATGTGACAACAACATGACGGTTTTGATGAATATGGTGACAATGATGATGATAATGAATACGATGCTGATGATGATAATGACAATGATGATAAGAACGATGATGGTGATGATACCGATGATAAGAACGATGATGGTGTTGATAACGATGATAAGAACAATGATGATGATGATGGTGATAAAGATGATAATGATGATGATTATAATGATAATATTTTTAATGATGAGGATGATGTCAATTTAAGTTAAAAAAAATGATGATAGTGAAAAACTTGAACTAAAGTGAAAAAGGCTTTACACACACACACACACACACCACACACATACACACACAAACAAACCTACCCACACACACACACACAAACACACACAAACAAACAAACCTACGCACACATACAAACTTAAATAAACTCATCTAACATCATATTTTTCGCGCCTCATACAATCTTTCTTCATAAGCTCGCAAAACAAACATTCGCACTAGCTAGCCAAGATAAAATTAAGAGCAGAAATAAATAAACAAATAAAAATAGAAAAACATAAAAAAGTATAAAAATATGAAAAAAACTTCTTAATAAATATTAAAATAAATATATATGATAAAACGCTCTGTGCGTTTCAATAGCGGCAAATGATTAATGGCTTGCAATTGGTCAGTCTCATTGTACTACTGGCTGGCTGGACGGTTGGTTATGCACCTTTGGTAAATGACCATTTCTATATAAATAACATTCGAGATTTTGCTCTGTCGTACACACACGCACGTGCTGTCAGCAGAGATATAAAAAATGTATAAAATTAATACACAGACACACACACATACATACACACTTACACAACATGCATACATCTCTGTTTTAAAAATTTTACCTGTGCGTATGCACAAATTCACATTCGCTAAATTATATTATTATTCCATATTTTCAAATGTTTGTGTTTGTGTGTGTGTACACGTCGTTTACAAACAAACGAAATAAATACTTACTTCTACCTTCTACACACTACACACACACACACACACACACACACACACACACACACACACACACACACACACACACACACACACACACACACACACACACAAGTACACAGACATACTTAAACGCACACGCACACATACGCACGCGTAGATTGTGATAACAATGCGAGAAGCTACTAACGCATGAAGAATTAAAAGGTTATTAATCACGAAATGTGGAAGATCATTTGTTCGTCATGATGATGATGATGACGACGACGATGATCATCATGATAACGATAAAGATGATAATAATGATCACACATAAAATTGATGGTGAGGACGAAGTTAACATTAATCACCCTTATCATCATCGTTATCATCAACGTCATAAATATCATTTTCATCATATTCAACATCATTACCTCTATCATCAACATTAGATTTATAATTATCATCATCGTCATCACCATCACATCATCGTCGTCGTCATCACCATCATCGTCAGCGTGAATACTTGTTACCCAATAATCGTTGCTAGGAATGTCTGTTAGTGATGGCCGATATTCGTTCGATTACTTTATTCGACACATCTCTCTCTCTCTCTCTGTCTCTTTCTTTATTCTTTCGTGTGTGTGTATGTGTGCGTATGTGTGCATGTTTTACAAGGCAAAAGTTGTTGTTGTCTTTACATGTTCAGCAGATAGATGAAAACAAAGACGACTCGTTATGATGACATATGATATGGTCACTTGTTAAAAATTGCTGCGGTCATCCTCACAACACAACTGTGATGAATATCATGATATATATATATATAAGGGTTTTGATTATAATTTAGGATTTAAACAAACAAATGTGTTGCTTCTGAAAACAAAGAAACGACATTTAAAGTTTATTATTTCACAAATTATAATCAGTCACAAAATATATTTAATTAAACTTTACTTTTAGGTTTTCTTTTAACCTATCAACAAAAAACCCCAGACAAAAAATTCGCAGTGTATTATCAATCGCGCAAAGCGCGACAAAATCAAAATTAAAGAAATATAGTTTCTTTACATCTACCCTCCCAAGAAAGAAAATTCACATGAGGGATTTTCTGCCAGAATCACGCTTTTATCTATTTTTCTTCATTTGTATCCTCCTCAACTTCATCTTTTGTTATCTGTACTGGAATTAATTTTGAAATATGAAATAAGTTTGACTCTGTTTTCCTGTGTCCTGTATCTATCTCATAAATGGTATCTGATTTTTTTTTTCTATTTTATATGGTCCTATTCGTAGTTCTTCTAGTTTTTTTCGATTTAATTTATTCCCATTTTCGACATAAACCATATCTCCAACTTTAAATTCTCTATTTTTTCTTTTTGCATCATAGCACATTTTGTTATAGTAGTGTGATTTCAGAGTATTATTAAG